CCCACTCCCTCCACTGCATCCCCTCCCCCACCACACTGCATCCCAGCCCTACTCCCCACTGCATCCCCTCTACTGCAATGCACCCCAGCCCCACTCCCTCCACTGCATCCCCTCCCCCACCACACTGCATCCCAACTAGCCCCGCTCCTCCACTGCATCCCGTCCCCACCTCACAGCATCCCAGCCCCACTCCTCCACTGCATTCTTCTTCCACCACACTGCATCCCAACCAACCCCACTCCTCCACTGCACCCCTCCCCACTGCATCCCCTCTACCACAATGCATTCCAGCCACACTCCCTCCACTCCCCACTACACTGCATCCCAGCTAGCCCTGCTCCCCACTGCATCCCCTCCCCACCGCACTGCGTCCCAGGAAAACCATTCCCAAAACAAAGGCCGGCTACCAAAACCAGAGGGCAGCCACTGGGGATTCCCCTCCCCTGCCAGCGCAGGGGCCTCACCCCTCTCCCCTCCCCTCCAACTGGTCACTGTCCCCCCCCCGCTCCTTTCTTCACCCCTTCCCCACCTCCTGCCTCCATGGGGCAAGCCCCACCCACATGCCCCTTATTCCACTCCCAACATGCCCCCATTCCCTGCCACCCCAAGCCCTGTGCGCCTCCCACACCACATCTCACCCCCAAGTCCCAAGCTCCACCCCCACATGCCGCACCCTGTCCCAAGCTCCGCCCCCATGCCTCAAGCTCCACCCCTCCGTATGCTCCACCCCTCCCCCATCGGCTTCATTTCACTTTAGATTTGTTATTCATCGGTACAGCCCCCGTCCCTGCCCCAGGGCGCAACCAGGGACAGACATCGCCCGAGCCGGGGCCTGGGGGCCAGACGGTTCCAGCAGCAGTCCAGGCGCCCCCCCGACGGGCCACAACCCAGAGCGGGGCTCCTCAGGGATCCGACATCCGCAGGCCCTTTAACGCTTCCATGGGGCTGCCCCCCAGAGCTCCTTCCCCCCCGGCTGGGTGAACGAGTGACCCTCCGCCCCGGATTCCAGCCATCCTGATGAACGGAGCCAGCTGTCAGCCCCGTTATATAAAGCTCCAGAAACCTGAGCGCTCGGGGAACTGGAGTCAGCGTTAACCCCGGGCGGCCGAGGGTCCTTGCACACGCACCCCACTTCGCACACCCCTCCTTCCTTGCACACGCACCCCGCTTCGTGCACCCCTCCTTCCTTGCACATGCCAAATAGCACAACATGAAGAGAAGTGACACCAGCTGCCTAAAGTATCCACCCAGAGCGGCTCAAGGGATTGGACAGGCCTATTATTAGGTGTTTTACGGTAGCACCCAGAGGCCCGGACAGAGATCAGGCCCCGTTGTGCTAGGCGCTGCACAGCCAGGGTGCAAGACACCCCACAGCTCTCCCAGGAACACAGCTCGGCTCTGGAAGGCCCCTGGGTGGGTGGGAGCCAAACAGGGGGATGGGTGGGAACCAGCTGCCTCCCCCCCACCCTCCCCCCGCCGCCCCCAGTGACACCTGTTGGCAGCCACTGGCTCGTTGGCTTCCCAGGCCCAGAGGGAGAGGACCTGGGGTGGGGGGCAGAATGGGGCAACGAGAACGGAGGGGAGAGGCTGAGCCCAACCCTGGCCCCCCCCGGGGGCTGCTTTCTCCACACTCCCATGGTATTTACGCTGCCTCTGCCCCACCCCCTAAAGTCAGCTAATTATCCCATGTCACCATGGGGGGGCTGGTTAGAAACAGGGGTTAGCACAGAGCTCCAGGCAACTCCCCCGTCTGTCCCTTCCCCCATCTCTGCCCCCCAGGCTCCTTCCCCTCACCCCCATACACTCCCTATACCCCCCCACCCCGCTACCCTGTCTCTTCTCCCCCGCCCCCATGTGC